CAATAGCTTTTCTTCCCAGCGTAATTGGACTTCAAACAGAAGAGAAAGTTACCCGCAAATAATATATCCATTGCATGGAGTAAGTCATTTTGTATGGTATAACGAAACATATGAGTTAAAAAATAAATCGTGAAGTATTCTTAATGTTTTTATGAAAAATAGCATGCTCCGTCACAGCGGACAAATATTTCGATACCAGCCTGTGATACAGGGGTTCGTTTTTCGTACGATCGTAACTTACGATTCCGAGAAAACCATTTGTCTCTGTTTTGATGAACAATGACTTACGACCAAATCGTAAGTTACGATGGTTTCAAAAACGGACCCCAGCGCCTTTGCGCCATTGATTGATAGAATGTCACACTTTGTAACCATGGTAGCAGCTACGCTTTGCCGTTCCTATTTTCATTTTATTTCCCAAAGGCCTCCTCCCTTTAGGCCATTACATTACATTGATATTGATCTTTGACAAGTTATTTATTTATAATTAAACAAAGAAGAGGACATGGGCTTTCCGGTGATCCAGTCTATTACGCTGGTTAACAAAACGATTCGTTACGGTAACAAAATGTCGAAGTAGTGTCACGGTTGGATGATTTTTGGCCCAAAGTGATATTTTTCTAAAAGTATGAAGTATTGTAAGATTGTTTGTGCAGTTTACCATAGTGACACTTTTCCTGTGAATTTGGCATTTTTATTTTTCAATGACTTGATCTATAGTTCTACCTCAAAATATTCGAACAAACTGATCCATAACACATAAACAAAAAAAGGGTTATATTCAATCAAAGTACAGGGTCCAAGAATATAGAATTCTGTCTCAGATCATGTCAGATTTTTGCCTTCTTTACTTCAATTTAAAATGACTAGAAAGAAAAACTTAATTGCTGAAATATAATTCTATACTGTCACCTCATCTACCTTTCCATCCATACATTTTTTCCTAAACCGAAATAGAGTTAACACACAATGGCAGCCACAACCCACCACCACTGGCCATAAGTTAGATGCATATAGTTATTATTGAATTTTTATTTTTGTCACTAAAACAACTTCATACACTTGTTAAAGTGTCAGTTGATGTAAAAGTAATGTATCATAGTTTGACAATAAATACTAACTAAAAAAAAATATAATAAAAGCTAATTTGTAGCAAATTTAGCTGAAAATTGACCGATATAACCACACCCTACCATACCTCGTCCGCGCATGCGGGAGATCTTTGGTTTTAGCCAAAGGCAACTGTTGAGTATATTCATGGGCTTCCAACTCTCTTGAAAGCCCATGGTATATCCTCGAACAGCGTTGTTCGTTTGGTGTTACGGATGTGTCAGTAGTGTTATTTACTGAACGTCAATGGTGAAATAGTGAATTACATGTTCAAAACTAAATGACTGTAGAAGGAAGAATATAAATCAGATCGTTTTAAATTTGTCCTAATACAATTCACTGAATCTAAGAAGTTGATCAAAACAAGAAACGGGCAATTTAAACTGTTAAACAATAAAAGGTGCTGGAAAGTTAGCTAATATATGCGGTCAGAATTGATGGCTTTATAGCAAAAAATACGATCATGACGTTTTATACAAATGTGCAATGGGACATTTGTGAACCGGAAACCGTAAATGATCTAATTTTAATTATCAGATGAGTACAGTAAGGACATACATACATATATTTCCGAAAAACCTGTTTGTGGGCTAGAGAGCACTTCCTGGAGGGTTTCCATTGCATTACTATGCATGTATGGCCTATACATGTGTACATGTTTTGAATTTAACGTTTGGAAATAGCTATCAGGAGTGTCATGGACCACAGACAGATTACAATTTTGGACCAAAAAATTTAATTATATTTTTGGTGGTCTCAGTAAATCACCGGCCTTATCACATCCCACATGCTTTTTACAGACCCAAAAATCAATGCTCGCTGTAAATCATACATTTTCGTACGAACGCAGGATATGCTTCTCACCATATACATGCCCGGTGATCGTACAAAATGGATGGAGGGGGGAATAGGCAATTTCTGCAAGAAAACTCAACAAATTTGGAAGATTTATTTTTTCAAGAGAAAATTTACAAATGAATTGCCAAATGAATAGGCGCAGTGCATGGCAAAATATATGTGTTTCAGTGGTGTCTGTAACAAACGGCAGATGGTGACATTTTGCATGTTGCCTTGTATTACATACTGTCATAATGGACCATAATTGCTTAGCTGGTTTACTATGGTTTGACCAGGAACTGTTTTGACATTTCCCATGTGTTATATATAATACATTCTCCACGATCCATCTATATGTATATAACCCACAGTGTAAAAAGAATCACAAGAAAAAGAAACATCTAAGTTCATAATAGAGCATATGGAAGACAGATCACCAAGGTATTACCCAACGCACAAAGACACAATGTCTTACACATTTCTTCCGTCAATCAGAAATCAAACCCCAATTCAAAACCACAACTATATCAAGCATATTGAGATACATGTTGAAATAAATTCAAAATAAAAATATTTCCATTACTCTTTAGATCACGATTAATTGAAGATCTTCATCTGGTTTCATCACGCAAGGAAGTAGAATGGATAAAGATAAATTGAAGTCAACAATATTTTACTCATCCATATCAAGCATCTTTCTAAAAAGTCCAATGCTGTAGTTCTAATCTATTTTATGACAATTGAATTTTAGATCTTTTATTTCATGGGCATATCTCAATTGTTTTTTAGAAAAGGAAATTAGGATAGCGGAAACATTGACACGGTTTTTAAAAAATTGCTTCAATTTTACACTCTCTATCCTTTCAACTTTCATAAATTAGGGCTTTTGCATTTGATCAGTCTGTTAACAATATGCACTTGCACTTGTCGTTTTCATACTAGATTGATCTATATTTTTGACGTAGACATACATTTTACTACCAGTCTTTGGCCGATAACTAGAGATTCTTACTTCTTGAAATGTCCAGTGTATATCTTCCCTTCCTTTCCAATGGGTTATCTTATCCAACATTTTAGGGCCAACATTTTTCCGCGCAAAAATTGTTTTGTGAATTACAAGTTCTAACAAAATAAGTGAACTCGAGATACTTGGGCTGTCAGAATATTTGGGCAAGAGTCCGAACACATGGGTAGCCCAGAACAGTTGGGCTTTCACACACGTAGTTCATTCAAGGAGACGTTCTCGTGTATGTCAATAGGTACAATCGGTACGTAAAAATACAACCACGAAATACGGGATGTACAATCAATCAACAAACCAACATTTACAATACAGTTCCAAGACACTTCATTTCTTTAGTGGTGACATGATTGAATCTAGTTTAGAGCTGTTCTCCTATTCTCCATTCAAATTAGTAAATCGTGGTACTTTGGTGCTCACAAATGTAACCAAATCGGTGGTCTGAACAAGTAATATCAAACCAATAGAAATTGTCGTGATAGTTCATCGTTACACATTGTTCAGATGTACCCCCGTTTGGTTCGCCTGCATACCAGTTAGAATAGGCAGCCTGTACCAAGGATCCGGTCCAGACGAATTGGTTTTCCACAGCTCTATCAGTCAAGCCAATGTGAAATATTGTATCTGTGTGTAAAATGAGGAGCATCAGATTCACAAAATATTAACAATCAAAAGGTTTAGAACTGAAACTGGTCGAAAATCAATTGCGAATAGAGGAGCGATCCTACAGAACTCACAGGATACTTTAAAAAGGCAAAGCATGTTAAGGAAATCGAAAAACTGATTAAAACGATCTTGTCAATGAATACCAATGATACATCATGCTTCCACTTTTTATTTATCCATGTTATAAAAGAATTTTGAATTGAATAAATTGGATTGAATTTAAAAAAATTCATGATGCACCACTGGCACTGCACTCTACAAACTAGTTTAAACGGATGGGTACCAAAATGTCGGAACCTCAAAGGTATACGATTTTTCTTTTTTTCTTATATCACGATCTTACCAAACTTTCCAAAACGATCCGTTTCGGTAACAGCGTAATCGAAGGCAGTACCAGTGGATGAACTGGCATGGGTGTAATCATTTACGAAAGACATGGTCCTTACCCCCCTATCACACCAAACTAGTTCTTACCCGTTCTTGCCAGTCCTACGAAAACGTCGTAAAACGGGCTTAATCTGGCTGTGGTCGGGATATATGTCTAAAATAATTAGCTACTTCGTTCATAAACAGTCTTCAATACGTCCATCTCATTCGCAGTTCGTTCAGGTCGCACCACGTCGGTGTGCAACGTCGTATAACGCGTCCCTTAGTCTAGAAGGTCATCATGACCTGATTACAGAACGGTATGGTCGCCATCGGATTTTAAATCGATTCAAAATTCTAAAATCACCTTCCCGTCTGAGAACGTTCATGAAGTTCGTAAATAGACCTTAGAAAGTTGCAGCTACGTTCATTCTGTTCGCACACAGTTTAAAACCAGTTTTGAAGAACGCAGTGGCAACTGGTGCTATATCTTTGCTAACTCGTTCATAAGCAGTATTTAATACGCTCTTAGTCAGTTTAAACCCGTTTGCAATTAGTTCTACCTCGTTCTCAGTACGTCGTCAGACAGTTCAACTCGTAAAAACGTCCCTAGTAGGATTGAAGTACGACGGTTCCGTTCGTAGTACGTCCAGCTCGTCGTTAGTACGTTGTCACTCGTTCTAATTGTAGAACGTGACGACCACGAGAACATTTTGAGCATGTTCTAAGCTCTAGAGGACCGACCCGTTCGAGTACGTTCGATGAAGTTTGTAAATAGACCCCAAACGGTTCTAAGTACATCCAGTCCGTTCGTACACAGTTGAAGCCCGTTTTAGAGAACGTAGCGAGAACTAGTTTGGTGTGATAGTAGGGTTAGTGTCCAATAGTTTACTTTAACGTAATTTTAAATAGAACGAATCGGGTCAATGGCAAAACAGAAATGTGAGAATTGTCTGGATTGAAGTACTCAATAAAACACCCATGATATTATAAGTCTTACCACGAAGCTCGCCATTATTCAGCAAGTAGTTGACCAAGGCTGTTTGCTCGTCTTCAGTTTCTATGGCAACCAGTGTTGACCCATCCTCAATGCATTTGTTTTCTGCGTCTGTCCAACCTAAAGGTCCTTGGTTGAAACAATAGATGGAGCCATTGTAGAAGTATTCGGAACCCTCTTGACACCCTAAAATATATAGAAGGATTTATTATGCCCCATCATGCGATTGTTGATTATAAACATTGCAGAGGTTTAATGGAAACACGTATTTTCTAAAAAGCATGAATTAAGCTCATTCTTTAATTCAAGAAAAATAAAAAAGATATGCTATGAATGTAAAAAGTGTTAAAATTATAAAAAAGAGAAAGACGTGAAATAGATGTAGATGTCTACTTTCAATAATTCACGCATTGTTATCTTTGAGCAAAAAATTGTACCTCCCAAAGTCCCAAAAAACGATATCATGGACCCTTTTGGATTGAGATGACAAAAACGTCTAAAGTTGGTGAAGTGCTGGTGAAGTGAACTTGATTTGTGCTGGGTTTACAAACAAATATCAAAAGATTCAAAACAAGTCTATTTGTAATTAAAGTTACCTTATGTCGAATTAAATAGACAACCCCGTGCAATAAATTATTAGTCTCTCTTTATCTAAACATTGCGAAGTATGATGAAAACGACACCAAAAGATGGATTTTCTTAGTACTATAAACTCACCGTTATGTATCATGACGTAATGATGATGGTCCGGGCTATATTCTGTTTGGCCCGTGCCCAAACCAAATAAATCACAATTCCATCTTCTGGCTCCTAGCTTCTCAACATTTGTTTGTGCACATTTTGATGTTTTCAAACATTCGATGTTGCATTCTGTTGCAGATTGTGCTTCAATAGATTTCAAGTGTCCATATCCCAATAAAAAGGTGTAGTCGGGTATGAACTTCTTATTGCTATCTTTTTGAAACAATTGTTGTCGACAAATATGTGAATTTAAACTTTCTATCATGAAAATATACGTTATCATACATGTGACTACGAACATACCTTGCATGTTACTCTTCACAATCATTGACGATGCTTTTTTATGAATCATTCCCGTATATTTGATTCCACCCAAACGACTTATTTCAGCTCTCATGAATGGCGTAATTACAAATAGACATAATTATCCAGTTCAGAATAAGAATCTTTTACCAATAACTCCACTTAACTACTTAGCCTTTATACATCATCTGAATGAAATGTTGTTTGCCAAACATAGACCCATTACACACAATTAAACCATAGTAATGTACAGGGTGTCCCGAAAGTATGCCCCCCCCCCCGAGGCAGACATATACCAATGTCTCCATGGTATGTGTCATATATCATTTTAAAAGTAAAATCAATAGTCTTTTATGTAAATGGGCCAAAAAGCTCATGGAAGAGAATAAAAATGACAACAAACAATCATGGAAAATTTTACCAAAATATTACCTTAGTAAAGTATGTAATTCAAATATTTTGTTACGAGCTAGTGAGTGTTATGACAATGTTGCTAAATATGTCCATAAAGATGTACCTTTATTTTATAAAAATGTTATCAGTTCTTGGATTAATTTTAACAACCAATCAACACAATTACAACAAGAAGTGGCTAATAGTCTATGGTTAAACAAGAATGTAAAATATAAACATAAGGTTTTATACTTAGAGAGATTAATGAAGAAAAATATATTCTCTTTAGATCACATATATGAAAATGACAATTTAATACCTCTACAATTGTTAAATGAAAAAACCCAATTTAAACTGTATCTTAGAGTATAACATATTAAAGGGTATATCTCGATGTAAAACAACACAAGTAAAAACAGTAGACACAAAATACATTTATAATGTGTTTATTAAGAGTTTATTTCAAAACCCCACAACAACTGTAATAACAGATGTGCAAAATAGTGAATTTTATTGGACTCTTGCACATCATTTGACAAAAGAAACAAAGTTGATTACATTTCAGTGGAAAATACTCCATAACATTGTTGTCACAAATAATAGTTTATTCAAAATGAAGAAAAAAGAAACCCCTCATTGTACAAAATGTGCTGATAATGTGCTAGATACTATGAAGCACAGATTTGCATCATGTACTTCTATTCAACCTTTATGGGGTATTATTAAACAACACTTTATGTAGATACCAGTTCTTCAACTCGACAATGGGAAGAACTACTCTACCTTAGTGACTAATATGTCATGATATGACATCTAAAGAGTCGATAAAAGATATAATAAAATAACATGTCAGAAGATGAAATAATACAAGGCATTTTTAAAGATGATGTTCAAACTAAGAAGTTAAATTATATTATACTCATTGCAAAGTGGTGTAGACATAAACATACTCTAGGGTTTTATAATACTATTGACTTGTACTATAATTTTAAAATAGAGCTCTCCAAGAGAAATATTATTATGTAATGCAACAGGTAACTTATGTAAACAAATTTTTAAATTGATGTAATCTTTTTAAATTATCTGAAATAAAAAAAGAATTTTAAATATAAAAAATATATCATTTTAAAGCTTATCATGAAATACTGATTACAATTATTGACTTATTTCAGAGGATAGTCTATAATAGAGGTTGAAGATATATATGGCTTAATCCAGATCAATTATGATATGAATTTATATTTTTCTTATTAGGCCTATAACTTTTTTCCGCATAGGATTTTTAATAAATATACGGAATAGTCTAAATTCCAATTAAAGATGTGTCCTTTCAAATATGTCTGGTTTTGATTTTGATTTTGCCTTGAAACAAAACATTTATATTCTTCGTGATTACACGATTTGGTTTATCCTTGAAATTGAATAAAGATTCGAAGTAAAATTCAGGACATATACCATGATGTAATCATATTGGTCTGGGCTATATTCTATTTGACCCATATCCCTACCAAATAAACCACAATTATTACGACCTTGCCGGGCCTGTTCTAAGGGTATTAGAAGGCTTTCCCTAGCAGCAACTTACCACACACACGGGCACAAATGATATAACCAAAGATTTGATCAACATCTGACACGCCAATGTATTGACCAAAGGGAGCCACAGGGGAATTACTATTGAGTGTGTTGCAACGGCCCGTGTGGGAATCGAACCAAGGACCCTTAGGTTCAAAACCTGATACTCTTCCAACTGAACATAAAAGCACTACAGCTGTACCAAGTTCAAAATGAGAACCTTTCATCAAGATTTTAACTCCAACCACATTGAAATGTTTCATAGTTATTTCGACACAGGAGCTATGAATATTGTTGTCATTCTGAACTATCGCGTATTGATCTTATATAGACATTTTAAACCATACATTGTGTATAACATTAAATGTCTTGGATATAGATTTAGCCCATGCATGTCGAATATCACACGAAAATATGTTTGATACGACATTGTAAATATATCGTGTCTAAGCAGAACGTATATTGACATTCTTCCTCATTATATGTAATCTTAATTACAAAAATTACCATAATTATATTACTATACAAAAATATAATTACCATAATTAAAAAAACTTGAAATCGGCAACTCGATGGAGTAGCGAATCCCAACAAACAAATTGTTAATGAATCTGAAATATGCCACAATATATTCATATATGAGATCTCAAATTACCACAAATTCCAACTATTTTTTGAGGCCTGAATCTGAAACACGATACAATATTTGGAATCTTTTAAATACCTTTCATTTGAGTAAAAGTCATGCTTGGGATAAAGAGAGATCTGAAAATTAACGAAAATTACTAGAAATATGTAAAAAAGATATATTTTTGAATAAAGTGCCAATTTCAAACATTTATACCTATTACTTTGGTTGGAAATGAAAAAAGAGATTTCATTTCAAGAAAAATTCCAATGTGAAATCCTTGTCTGTGTGAAAAATTCATATCCACGGTCAAGCGTAGTGGCGTGGCGTGAGTATAATCTTTCACAATGGATTGGTTCTTACTCTCTAATAGTACGTAATTGGTAGGAAAACGAATCGGAATAATGGCAAAACAGAAGTGTACGAAATTGATTTTTGATTGCTCTCATACATGTCATGGGGCTCTCTCACTTTGTATCGCCGAATGACAGAAGTGGATAGGTTGTGGCTTACCCATCCTTGGTCCAAGCAAGGGCTAGTTGATGGATGCAACTTACCACGATGTGGCATTGATTTATGCAAAACAGTATATGGTATGTACGGTCATTAGGGACATCAGAATGCGCGCAATAATACGTATATTTTGAAATGCTACCCTCTATTGTAAATAGCTAGTTATGTATGTACAGGGTGGGCCAAAAAAACGCCACTTTTTATTCAAGACACTACAACTTTTTTATTTTCCAACCTACACACCCCAAATTTTGCAGTTATATAGTGCCAAGGGTTCTTAGTAATAATATAATGTAACAAGTCCTTCAATTTGGATTATATTTGATCTAAAAGGGGAGTTCGATTGGTCCGCCACCCTAATTGATGATAAATTTTAGTTTTAGTCGCCTTGCTGATATTGCAGGATCAATGAAATGTTAGTTAAGTTTTTTTTCAACCTGTCTTAATTGCCAGCTTTAGTTGAGCAATTTTCTAGATTGGGTGCCTTCATACAATCTCCTGTAGACCTTCCCATACCCTATACTCACTGGGGTTTGCATCAGGGCTATTAGCTTGGCGATCATCAGGCCGTATCAGATCAGGAACATTTTGCAAATAATGCTTATTTCTCATGGCGCACCACATGTTTAAGTGAGATGCTGGTGACATATTTTATTCAAGTAAAAGTGTATGATTCATGATCAATGGCTAGATAACAACCTCAAGTTTCATTTGGTATGCAAATTATGATTTAATATCAAAAATTAAAAAAGTTATAGCATTTTGAAAAAAAGTGGCGTTTTTTGGTCCACCCTGTATATCTTTATTGCCCTTTATGCAAATAGATACACAGATTATGAGTTTGTCCAAAGGTACTGATCATTCTGTTTGTAAGCTAAGAAACCCATCTACTACTAAATATAGTCATTACTCCATGTATTTGATGCTTATCTATCAAGAATTCAAACATGACCGTGCTCTATTCGAATTTCTCAACCAATCAGAATGCAGCATAGCCAATATAGAACGTTCTCTAATTCTCCATAGATGCACGACCATGCTCTATTCAATCTGCAATTTGCATTGTTTTGAGTGACGTCACATCTCAGCTGCACATCTGGGGCTCTGTCCGGGGATAGCTGTTCTTTTTTACTCCCTCCGTAACTACTGTAACTATTTAACTATGGCTGACTTCAAGTTTGCAGTCGCATACACCGTATAAAATCTAAAACGGGGAGTAAAATAGAACAGCCCAAACAAATTCTAAAATTTTTCCGGCCGACTTCAGAATCTTGACAGCATGCGTATTCTTCCTTCATGCCCGTTCCACAGACACGGCTTTTACTAATTTTTATGTTTGAATCGGAATAAATAATGATAGGCCATTCAATATGGTGAAATTCAGCACTCGTTGGACAGAATGTTAGTACAAATGCACTCACCTTCGGTTCGTGCTTTGTACAACATTCTGTCCAACTCGTGCTGAATTTCACCATATTGAATGGCCTATCATTATTTATTCCTTAATCACACAATTCAAAATGAGACTCTTTCATCAATATTTTTCTACTTTACCATTAATTACCAACCATTTTACTTTACATAACACCACAATGAAATAGTGCATTGTAAACATAAATCCATTACACACATTTTAAAGGCCCCATATAAAGTTTAAACCACTTTGGCTTATATTGTAGTCTTACCCAATGTTATCAAAGTGTGATATGTGAAACTTTTTTTTTAAATTTCAAAAAGTGGTTTTTGATAGACTTTTTGTTCCAAAATTTATGAATTTATTTAAAACCAACTTTTAGAGGTCACTCATATCTTCTAATTAGCCACAATTCATACCAATGTATAGCATTCATCCTCCCATGTTTTTGACGAAAAAATTAAGAAAATCGGTTCATAAATAAGTGAGAAATGAACTTATCAGTGCATGAAAATGGTTCTGAGAAAAATGCATTTCAAAATTTTAGTTCTCATAGAAACCAATGGTACAATGATATCTAAAACATAATTTATTCTTTCTTTTGACCTGGTTAGACAATCAACATTGGTTTTTATGAAAGTCTAACATATTTAGAAAAGATTGACATCGAAAAAAAAAATTCTTCAAAAAGTTTTTGGTACCTTAGTGACATCACTAATGTTTCAAAATATTTTTATTGAAATAGCGTGTCCTTTGTTCAATCTTTGCATTGGTGTTAAAAAGATAATCTTTTTTGAAATGCATTAAGAAATATTTGATGATTAAGAAATTTCAACTTTTTTTGAAAAATGGCGGGAAATTTGAATATTTGAGAAATGAAATGCTCACAACTTTTTTTCAAATTTTTTTTTTTGTTCAGAAATCTCTAAAACCACTTTTTAAGTCCTGACAAATAGTAAATGAATGATAAAAAAATATTTTCAAACTTTAGACGGGGACTTTAAACCATAAAGTGTGTATGATTCACACATAGCTAAGCAAGGTGTGTCTATTTCAAGCCAATCCGAACACGCTATTTCGTATAACTGCATTCAATTTTATGACCAAAAATGGATCCAAGGTAAGATTCTAGTGAAACCGATAAGTTTATTTTCATAGTTCAGTAAATAGTAAATAGTATAAATAAGTATAAAAAGTATCCCAGGGAATAACAAGCGAAGTGCTTATGCAGGTCAGATGCATGGTAAAGTGTTTAATGGTTCTTAATTTGGCAATATAGATTAAAATTGATACGTTGCCAAATCATAAGGTCACATTTTCAAGGAAAAATGGTAAATCTCGGACACATGAACAATATTGGTATTCAAAGATCTGAAAAAGGAAATTTGAGTCAGTATAAGCTAAAATATTTGAATGGTAAAATATGCCTCTCCTCAAGTTTCTGTAAATCAATTTTTATGTCAATACCTTAATGTTATGATACTTTCCTAGCCTTTTCAAAAAGTTGCAAACTTTTTTGGCACACCCTGTATTTTAAAATAGATATTGTTGTAAGCGCTCTATACACTCAGGAGGATGTCGAGTGTATGTATGTTTTTTATATTAAATGTAAGAACTTACTGCTGAATAAAAAATATGAAAACGGCGACAAGTTTTAAATAGTCCTTGTTATCTGGCTTCCTAAAAATCCCGGATAGAGTTCATTCCTTATTCCATGAAAACAAAAAGACATGTGGATATCAACTTTTAATATCAATCATTTTTTTTATCTTTCAACAAAAATTTGGACCTCTCAAAAGTGAACAATTTGATATCATGGTTCCTTTGGAAGATAATGTATTTGTTATCGTTTAAAATGCATTGGTGTCATTGTACGTTGCAATTTTTGAATTAAGAAGGAACACCTAAATGTCTAATTTTGGTGAAGTGCTGTTCAAGTGCAATTGGGTCGCGTTGGATTCTACCAAGAATTATCAAAAAGTTAAAATTTTGGATAAAATAGACGACCCCATGCAATGTTAAAGTAAATCATTCTACCGCAGAAATTTTGCTGTGATTCATATCTGACAGTGTGTTGAAAAGGACACATACGTCCTTCACTCGTAAAGTTCGACTTTTTCCATTTTCTCATTGTAACTCCTTACCACATTTAGGTTTCTAAAATATCCATAATAAATACCGATAACGATTTAAATTAAATTGAAAATCAAGATTTAAATCTAAATGCCGATAAAGATTTATCATTTCAAAATGCGTCACTACACTGCTTTATTTTTTAATATGCACACGTGCCAACGTGGAAATGCCGAACGTGGTTTAAAACAAAGCAAGAAAACAAAACGTTTGTGAGTATACAACCAACCATAAGGTAAGCAAACCAAAGTATCCCAAATTATGATCTGACATGTAAAGAAACAATGTCTAATACGCACCCATCACCATTCAAGTACCATTATCGCAATTCGAGACCACAACACCAATGGACATTTTATTCATTCTTGTTGGATTTACACTAGAGCCCTAAGACGTCTTGGCTAAAACGTTTTAGCGTTAAAACGTTTTACAACTGAATGTAAATCCAGATTTTCTCAAGAGCTCTCGGCTAAGAGCGCCTAAGAACCCTAGTCATAGCCAAGACGTCTTAGCGTAAAACGTTTACAAGCGAGTGTAAATACATTCAGCTAAGAGCTCTTAGCCCGGTTTTTGCGTTTCGCCGAACGAAACAATTGAAACTTTCCATTTACATTATGTCTCGTGGTCCTTTCTTTTGTCTTATCCCTTGTTCCCAATATCATCCCAAAACTATTGAGAAGAACTTATTTGCCTGGCGATCTATCATAATCCTAATTTATGCATAAAATCTTCCTGTTATTCTTTAGCACAAAGTATAGAGGCGGGAAAGGAATAGCTATATTGACAGAACCGTCCTTCAACCAGTACTGAACTGTTTTTTCATTTTACATGTGTACGTGCATATCTCTAAGACGTTTTAGAAAATCAGGGGTAAACTCAATCATATTTCGTAAGACGTCTTGAAAATGGTGGTGTAAACTCAACATAATTTTTCTAAAACGTTTTAGCCAAGACGTCTTGGAATGTCGCGTGTACTAATGTCATTACAATACACATTGGAGAATAAATGAGAAGACCAATACTCCTAACCAAAAAGTAAAATAACATGTTTCTTAGTAAACTCACGGTTATGTATCATGATGTAATTATGATGGTCTGGGCTATCTTCTGTTTGACCCGTGCCCAAACCAAATAAATCACAATTCCATGTATTTACTCCTAGCTTCTCAACATTTATTTGTGCACAATTAGGCATTTCTAAACATTCGATGTTGCACTTTGTTGGAGACTGTGTTTCAATAGACTTCAAGTGACCGTATCCAGGTAAAACGTTACCGCCGGGTATGAACTTCTTATTGCTTTCTTTTTGAAACAATTGTTGTCGACAAATAAGTGAATTGAAACTTTCTATCATGAAAATACACGCTATCACGCATGTTTCTATAAATACGCCTTGCATTTCGTTTCGAAATCAGTGCTCGATGCTATCAAGTGTTAATTTGTGAATCAATCCCGAATATTTAGATCCAATGACGGATAGTACCTCCTGTTTAAATGACCAGTTAATCAGTGTGTCCACAGGTACTTATCATATATTAGCTAAGAAACCCATTAACTTGTTGTCATATATATATATACCAGGTCTGTAATACCTCGACGGATCAAGCATAACGGGGGGGGGGGAGAAATAACACATTTTCTCCATGTATCCGAGAATTACTCAATTCAGAATGAGAATCTTTACACACCGCACTTCACTTTTATATATTAGCGCAATGAAGTGATGCTTAGTAAACATAAATCCATTACGTGTACACACATTATAAACTATAAATTGTGTATAAACAAGGCATGTTACATCGTCTGATTCCATCGTGTTAACATGAAAATAAAATAAATGAACTTGGAACCCGGACTCCGAAACACCCGACTTTGCATAAAGGCATTCCTTGTTAAAGTTTCTGAGTAACAGCCATTGAACTGGACATCCAGGGAATTATTTAAAGCCAAATAAAATATATAAGTTACTAAAATAAATTTTCTGTATGGATAAAGCATTTATTGTTTTCCACAGAATAGTTGTGTGTTTACAAGCATTTTTAGGTCTAGTGTATTTTTGCAGTATTTAGTTGCTTTAAGTTGACAAAACCTTCATATTTCCCTTCTGCAGTAACCAAAGAGGATTGGCTCCCAGGGGATTCCAACTCAATATTCGACCTTGAAATTGATCGATGACAACATTGGAAATGTCGTTATTTTCTGATATTATAACTGATAAATTCTTAATCAGAGATCCAAAAGATTTGAACTGATAATTTAATCACTTCTTGTGTGTTTTGAATTTTTTTGTTTGGAAATAATACCAAAATTCACTATTCAAATTTTGAAGGGAACAAAAATTGCGGGACATTTTGATCTTGAATTTCGTTATCACGATATAATTACCTGAAAATAAGGTCAAGGTCATAATACCATAATGGCAGAACATCTAGATCTATATTGCATTCTGGGAGCCAATCCTTCTTGTGCAGTCCCTGTATACAATTGTTCTAAATTTTGTAAAACAAGCCAACACATTAATTGACCAATAATTACATTAAGCTCAGAGGTAATAAAGACCTCATTTAGCCCTAAATTTGCCTTGCCTACATATTTGTGTCTCAGATAAGTTTTGACCCTAGCCACGCCCCTGTGTTACAAACATGCACTATCAATTATTGCACAACATGTTCACGCTCAGCTCACTGTTCATGAAATGTTTAAAACTCTAAAACTGGTATCAACATCTACTATTGTCTCACTGTTTCTGATACACAAATCGCACTATCGCATATTTGAAATTGAGGCAATCTAAAAATGTGATAATTGCTTTTCACCTTCAGAGCTTCAATTGAAAAAGAATATACCCAATAATATATCCTGACCCCTTTTGGTGAATCAAAGAGTCAGGGCATATTGGCAGTAGTTTTTGTAAACAACCAAAATGCTTCTTTTAGCAATGAGTTTATCCTTTTCAGCACTGAAACGTTTCAAGTGTCCTTATAATAGATGATACAAATATATAATCTCAACCATCAAGGTCATAGATTCATACAATATGAAAATATCATACAACAAATTTGACACGAGACCTATGCCATCTATAATTGTAAATTGCTCTAATTTGGTGCTTTTTAATTTGGGAGATTGGGTAAATGGCTGCTATTTTATTTGGTGGATCGATCAATAAATATAGATATTGGAGGGCAAGCTAGGAAGTTATACATGACCAGGTTACTCTTGGGTGACACAGGGAGGTTTTACCTTCATATATGAGCTAAAATGTAATAAATATGGGGTTACAATCAAATTATTGAAAGAAAATTGGATTTAAAAAAATGGCGACGATTCTATTTGGCAGTTTTTACCAATCCGCAAAATTTTAAAACAGCCGTCAAATTAAACCAATTTACAGTAACTAAGTTAAAACCTCAGCGCACAATTTTCCATACAGTTCATGTACCCACAGACATGGGCAGATATGTCAAACATTTTGCTTCTTTAGTCATCTTAAGTGTATTTTTATCACTCTGAAAATATACTTCACTTTTCAATCTGAGGAAATTATGTGTAAATTACCACTCTGGTCACATTTTCTCGTATTTCACACTTTTGTTTCATAATTCACTTTTTTTCTTTTTCCTCCCTTAGACTTTGAAAAAGAGCTTCATTTTGTCATTTTTAAAAAAGTGAAAAAGCAAAATTCTTTATTTTCTTCAAGCTTAATAATGGAAGGTGAAAACATAACCAGAGTGATATTCCAAATGCTGTGTGGAATGTTCAGCACTACTGTGTAGGAGTCCATAAATTACACTTCTTTTAATACTTTGCCCTTCTTTGACTTAGCATCCATATCAACATCCTTGAAGTTTAAACTCCTAGTCAAATGGGGCCCTTCATTTTTCAGCCTCAGTATATGTAAATCTTTAAAGTCGACACTTTTTGATATTTTGCCATTTTGATTGGCAATTGGCAGTAAGGCACAGGAACCACTGAGACTGTTTTCATCTAAGTTTCTGTTTGATTCTCGCCATTTTCTGTTTAGTTCTATGAAATATTCACTCGTTTTCTCACCAACTGAAATCAAAGAAGCAAAATGGGAATTTAATATATCATGTCAAATTATTACGCAAAATATAGGAGACAAAATGGTGTCGTGTGCCCAAGGATTATTAGTCTAATATTAGTCTAGAAATGTACAAGTATACAGGTAGATTAACCATAATATATTACAAGTGAATGAAAAACAAGGTTTAAAATGTGCCAACATATAAATTGACACAAAAATAAATCAGATTTCCTTTCATTAAAGTGCCAATGGACACTGTTTCAAAACCTCCTTTAACATAATGCCACTAATGGGCATTTATTTTGAGGGGAGCTAGAACCAGAATTAGGGCTTTTGAAATTTACATACTCAGGATCATTACAAGAAAGCTTTGTACCGTATGTGCTTTCCTTGACCTTACCTTTTTTCTCATCCAAGTTCTCCATGTTCATGGCAGCTATATCTTCTACTTCTGATACTGCGGGAAAATGCTGAAACAATCAACAAAAATGCACAAATAGCATTTTTAATGTAGCATTTTTAAGTTATGTATTTATTTATCCTGGCAACCCAAAGATTGAATGCTATTCTGCAAAGAACAGCTGTTGAGCTGTTACAGGAAAATACAATATTTTTACAACTTGTAAAATATGTTGAGTTAATAGGTTCACATCTCAGCTGAACTCACATACAAACAAAGCAAATGTCACCTTGGTTGCCATGACAAAAGTGTAGCTGTTTGTTACAAATGACAACAGTAACTTGTAACACTGAAGCAGAACATGAAAGTAAGCAAAGCGAATGACATGTGATAAAGTGAATTGAAAAATCAAGAAAACAATTATTTTCTCCCAATAAAAGCACATAGGACAACATTGGAAAAGCACAATGGGGACAATCCCTAATAGTACACAACCAATCTAAACAGTACTGTACGGTACCGTGATCACAGCGCTGTACGGTAACGCTCATATGGTACTGTATGGTATAATCTTAATGTACCAAATGGGACCATGGAAATGGTACCATATAATGCTGTGTAAGGTACCGTACTGTTACTGTACCATGATTGCTGATTGGGGGTGTAGCCTGATGCTTGTAATCTTGGTATTCACGATATAACATTATTCTTATCAATTATATCACCTATTAAAGAGGAATTATATAATCAACTAAAATTATCAAAAATAGTATGGTATGTGATACAATCATTGTGTTCATCCACAGGCTTGAGAGTCTCATATGAGAGAATGATTTCAAATGAGCCAAAATAGCAATCTTTTCCAAATGCTGACAGACATAGAAAGCTATTTAAATATTGTGCTATTTTGTGGATTACTCCATTCCAAAGCACTGTTTTATCCTATGTTAACATTCTTACTGGTCTTTACTGGTCTTTGTAATAGTGTACACTATACATTCACAGAGTTTGGATGTCCATATACTATACTAGTACATCTTTTTTACTCCAATGGAGATTTTATTTCAAAGATGAAGTTTTCAAATATGAAATATAATTTACTGAAATGGGGTCATAGGATAAAATGGTTATCCAACATCTATGTGTGTAATACACAAAATATTGAGCTTCAAAAAGAATAATAATTTATCATATGTGTCTTGATGCCACTTTGATAATTTTCGGAATGAACCATAATTTCTTCAAATATATTTCCTCACATGTACAGTAAAACCTATCAGATGGAACACCTTCCTGTGAGGAATATCTCGTATATTGGAAATTTTCAAAGAAGTCCCTCTGACTTACATGTTAATGAACCCCTCTGTAAGGAATATCTACAAAGGACAATTTTGGCCAGTGGTAAAAGTGTTCCATATATACATGCTTTACTGTGTTTCAAAATTCGGGATTGCTAATGCAGAATATTTTCTGTATCACATAAAAGAACATTGGATGAGTCCAGTTGCATAAGTAAGAGGGTGGCAGCAATAATACTGACACTTTTAGACTTTTTAGAAGGGTCTTTAGAAGGATCCCTCTGCAACAACAGCAAAATATTATAATGGCAAATGGGTATTAAGAAAACTCTACATCAAATATGTTCAGGTGTTACTGCAACAAAATGTCATTTATGATGAACCCTTTAGTCAGGGGCATTAAATTGCATCTTTTAAATAAAACATATGCATTTACAGGAGTATTGTTAATTATGTGATAATTGGCTAAGTGCATGTCTATGACAACCTTAACCTTTTTCTGTTTAATATCTTGACTTCGAGGCTCTAAAATGGGTTTGAGACCTGGGAGTATTTTTCATTTTTGCCAGTTCGCCAATCCCATCTACAAATTGTCAACACAATCTGTGTAGAATGTCACTCTGGGTATAGCGTTCAATTAACTTTTAGTTAGTTTACCGTACAGTGCCCTTCAAATATAATTGCATGACACCGGGGTCCATTTTTGGAACCATCGTAACTTACAGTTTGGTTGCAACTCACTATTCATCAAAAAGTAGACATGTCAACACTTTTTGGTGGTAACATAAAAATGTTTTTCCCAGAATCAAGCTACTTTTGTACCAAAAATGGACCCCTGAATCTTAATGAAGACAATCCGTTGGCAATTTGACATCATATGATGAGTTGGAACTTCTGAATAAGTTTTTAAAGCTAACGTTATATATATTTTATGATTACAATCATGATATGAAGTTTGACTACGGGCCAAGGAGATGTAATACTCAATTTGTGACCCATGTCAATTTTTCACTTAAAAGAGTACAGAAATGTAGAGACGTTAAGCACTCTATTCAGCTTTGGTATGAAAGTTTGATGAAGGGCACAGAAATACTTTTAAAAGCAAGTCACAAAAAAATTTAGATTTTATCTCAATATATTTTAGTACGTTTATTTATCTAAATAATAATAAAAACAACGCACCTGTCTCACTCTGGGAATGAGGAACATCAGGAGAGCTCCAATTAAAGGTGGCGCTCCAGCAATATGGAATGCAATACGATACGTGTGCATGTGGTCATACAGCAGTCCTGAAAATAGAAGTTTGAATTAGGAATCTCACATTCACTGGTGGAACAAATATTTATGTAGTTAGTTTTATAAAAATCAAATGTACCTAAAATGGACCTGTCACATGTCTCAACAATGTTTTCTTTACAATCATGGAATTAGCCAGAAGTATGAGAGTAGCTAAACTTCATGCTGAAATTAAACGGAATAAACAAGGCATTACCATGCAATATGTCACCACCTGCCATTTGTTACAGATACTGACCACCAAACACCAAAAGCCTAATACTGACCACCAAACATCAAACAACATCCACACCAAATGTTGGAGACTATAACAATATGTCACCACTTGTGGTGGTGACATAAAAATGAGGTGTTTGCTTTCTCTAACTCAAATTGTTTACATGTATTGGAAGAGCAAGCATGTTACTGAGTAGGAAGAGAGTGACATCTATACAGATAATACATACCTGCAACAGGAGGTCCAACAGTCATAGGGATTGAGAATAATCCAAGCAGGAAACCAAGTCCCTGGGAAGCACCTTTCGGCCCTAGGATATCAAATGCAATTGGCCCTAGCAGACAAACAAAACACCCATCAAATATACCTAGCACCAAAACTATTGCAATCAACCCTCCCCAATGTCCAGCAAAGGGAATACAGGTGGTTGAGACACCCATTATGGCGAGACCTATTTGCTGCATTCGAACCCTGTTGCATTTTGGGAGATCCGCTAATTTGCCAAACAAGAGGCGCCCAACACCAGATGTCGCCCCGAGACACATGACTAATATTCCACCATCAAAATCAGGGAAGATGTCTCCTGTATGTTTCACCTGGAAAAAAATTCAGAAAAATAATTATTTTTGGTGCTAATAGAGAACACTGACGTAAGCGATTTCCCTAATTCAGACACTTATGAAGGAATTCAAAATTGTATTGCTTTAAAATACAATTAATAATCAGAATTGTCCATCGATTTTGGCCTAATTATTGGTCTGAAATTCAATCTAATTAATTTTGATTTATTTTAAAAATAAACTTTAAGAGAACTTAGAATTGTGTGTACTAGTACATAATTTCTATCCAGCTTGACATCAAGCTTAGTAAAACTAAAATGCTAACCATCATAAAATAATCACAAACAATTAAGTAGAAATATAATAGTCATACAGTTTATCAAAATAATTTTACTGATATAATTAATTTTTGGACTTTGATGAACTTGAAAATGTCATTTTAATGATATAATATGTGAAATTAATGAGTTAAAAGATTGATTCATTCAAATCAAAAGAACTCACTCATACAAAGTGATATCATACAGGATTGGCACAAATGGGCAGTAACAATCATTTGAATTTGCATATTACACTTTTTTGAGAATTTGGATATTACGTTGCACCATTCTAAATGCTTATTGTTGAGAATATGGATATTACGTTGCACCATTCTAAATGCTTATTGTTGAGAATATGGATATTACGTTGCACCATTCTAAATGCTTATTGTTGAGAATATGGATATTACGTTGCACCATTCTAAATGCTTATTGTTGAGAATATGGATATTACGTTGCACCATTCTAAATGCTTATTGTTGAGAATATGGATATTACGTTGCACCATTCTAAATGCTTATTGTTGAGAATTTGGATAATACGTTGCACCATTCTAAATGCTTATTGTTGAGAATATGGATATCTTCCCAGTTGGATTCAAATGCTGAATCTTCAACATTTTTTCCTTGACTTATTGAGAATCTTGCATTTCCTTTATTTGATTTCATCTTTTACTTTTCTTCAAGCGGAAACAGATCACTTGGGTTAACATATTTAGATCATTACCAAATTGATAAGTTATCATGAACTCAAGCACCTGCTCATTTATTAGGCTCTTTATTGCCTAACTCTTGAAACTTGCAAGATACTTTGCAGTAGGTATTTGACTATTGGACTATTCATTTATAACAATCAAAATTGTCAACTCTACAGGTTAATAAACAGCTGAAGTTGCAATTATCATATCTTTCATGTAAACTATTTTTAGCCACTGTATTTGGTATGTGCTAGAGTAGCTTTGTAATTTAACATGTAATTTAGTCAAGCCATGTGACTAATGCCTCAGTCACATTTGATCTACAGTAACCATACAGCCGCCGTAGCTTCCCAAAATGGAGACAAATATGCAGTATAAGATATAGGGATAAGCAGTATGATGTCAATTTTCAATATAGATTTGTGAAGCTACAGCCGTCATACACCAGCCATAGAGCAATGTGACAGAGGCTCTAGAATGTAACCAGAGAAATAAATTTCTTATGTCACATGACAGACAAATTTTTTGTCTTTATTATACTCGTACTTACCAAATGCACAAATGGAATGAAATACCCAAACAGCGCCACTGGAACAGATACCACCCACATGACGTAGCCAAAGTTTTTCCAGATTGATACATTCAGGAATTTCTTGACCCACGTACAACAACCTTGTACAGTATCTGCTAAACTGGCTGTAGATAGATAATGATCTAGTTCTTCATGGCGATTTGTGTACATTGGTATGAATGATATACCACAGAGTATTAAAGTAGCCATTAAACCAGCTAATACACGCATAGTGTTTGCTAAGCCAATAGTGTCTAAGAGATAATTTTCAATAAACGGCAATGCGATCGTAAAAACGCTACTTCCAAAGCAGACGATCCCATTCACGATTCCTAATCGTTTTCTAAAATAGTGGCCCAGGATGACCATTGATGGCGTATATACAAGGGAGGAACCAAATCCCAGCAGTATTCCATAAGTCAGATACAGCCATTCTAATTGGCGGATAAACGAGCTCGCTAACATTCCAGATGTTGCTATTATTCCACCAAGGATTGCGGTTTTCCGAATCCCAAGTCTGTCTGTTAAAATGCTAGCCACAGGCGACATCCCAAATGTCATTCCTATATACAACGAACCAACCCAGGCTGAAAAATAATAAAATAAAATCTTTTTTCAATTTTGATGCATATTTTTATCATTAAAATCTGATATATTGATATGAGTTCATAAAATCTACGAGAATGTACTTTTTATTGATTTGGGTAAACAATAAATGAACTGGTCCATAATGAAAATCTGAAACAAATGTGATTTGTAGGAGATGCAAATGGTGCAACAATATGAACATTTGACCACTCCATAATACTGTGTATTATAGCTATAGCTAATTAAGCTGTTTTTAAGGATAATTAGTATCAAATAATGAAAAGATGAAAATAAATCAAACCATGGGCTTCTTTCTACAAGAAGATAGTCTGCTTGAAACTACGCAAGTTTCATATAAATTGGTTTATTGGTAGTGCATCACCCAGTTAAACAGAAGTTAACCTAAATGCAATGAAATAATCAACTTATCTAAAGTTCAATGGCAATGACAAAGATAGGCGAAGTATTTCTTTGTAAAGAGTCCCCCAAAGTGTGTCAATAGTTTAATCTTGTTTATTTGTGTATCGGTCTCACATTCCAATTGCTTGTAATCCCCTTATACTGAAGACTGACTTCTGTGTGATTCTGCTACTGATAAACATGTACAACTTTCCCTTTCATGGTTCACTCTTTAATTGAGAAGGTATGAAAATATGCAGTTAAAAAGCCCTCTGAAAGGACAAAATTTGATTGGCCAATGTTTCCCACAATACATTTCGCGTAGCTATTGGCGTGGCCTGAAATTTCTAAATCAAACTTATTACACAATTTTGTTTTTACACCCGCACGCTAGATAAAACAATGATCAGTATACCGAGTATAATCAAATAAAGCTTTAACAATGAACAACAAAATTTGGAAACGAGTACTATAAATTTGCTTTCGGACACTGAACCGATTGACCTAGATTATAGCGACTCGTCTTCTTTAGTCAACTGCTCAGTTGTTTGTGGGTTTTCAACGTAACTCTTTAATGCAATTTGAAGATGAGTACTTTTAATTTGTTGTTGCATCATTGTTACAGTTTGTAGTGCGGTAAGATTGGAATGATAGTGTTCTATGTAGTATTTTTTTGTTTTAAGGAGAGTTTTTGTTGTATTGAGTGTGTTTTGTTACCATGGAGTGTGTTTTGTTTCATGGAGTGTGTTTTGTTCTAAGGAGAGTGTTTTGTTGTATTGAGTGAGTTTTGTTACCATGGAGTGTGTTTTGTTTCATGGAGTGTGTTTTGTTCTAAGGAGAGTGTTTTGATCCGCTGAATGTTTTTTGTTCCAAGTAGTGTTTGTTTGTTCCATGGAGTGTGTTTTGTTTCATGGAATGTGTTTTGTTCTTTGGAGTGTGTTCTGTTCCATGTTGTGCTTGCTTTTTGCATCAAGTGTTTTTTGTTCTATGAAGTGTTTTTTGTGAGAACTTGTGAGCCCCAAGCTATGTACCTCCCCAACACAAGTGTTCAGGTAGATGGGGTGGGGGAGGAAGGGATAACAGACCTCATGCAAGATGAGTACATGCACATGTTTCTGAAGTGTACACTCCGAGCTAGTATTTACCTTATTCTGTCTACTTTCTTATCTCAGCCTTTGTTTATGACTGTGTCCCGAATGATTATTTCAGGAATTTTGACTTGAGATATGACAAGGATGTCAAAATGAGTTCTGCATATTGCACATTTGTTCATTGGAGAGAAGATATAACCTTGAATTTCATTAACCAAATTTTTATTCAATGATGATTGACACCTGGTTTTAATTTACTTATTTTTTTCCCTTATCTTTCATTCATTCTATATAAATGAACTGATTAGAGCATAAATGGATTGAGGTAAGATCGGTCTAAAAGTGACAGTCTTCATATTATTTTCAGAGTCCCAAGACCAATTAAATTAATGTTAAATGAGCCTCTATAAGTGGAATACCTTGCAAGTGGAACACTTTTTAGAGGTACCAAAGGTGTTCCACTTAGACAGGTATAACTGTATTACCAACATAATTGTCATTATAATTTTGGTCAAGCGACATTTATCACACTGACCCAAAAATTGAAAAATGATACTAAGAATTGATTTTGAGTAAAAACTGCATTTTTATTGAAGCCCAGGCAGATTTTTATCAAATTTTTATGTCAAGAATTGTACTTTCGCCTTAGGTGCCCCATATTTTACTATGCTAGCAATGCCCCTGGGATGACATGATAAGACAGTGTAATATTCATTATACATGTTAAGTCAAAGACAACAAATTTATGAGGACCTGTAATATGGTTGGCTTATAACTGACCCCATTTAGACTGAGACAAGGGGTATATGTGATACCTTTCCCAGGTAAAGCACACATACACTTTAAGGGGACTCATCTCTAACCCTTACGACAATGGTAATGCACTTGCCAATTACAGAAATAGAAAATAAACATATTTAGGAAAAGCTTGTTTGTTAACTTCACGTTTAAGCCGTGTTCTTTAATTAAATCTCAATGACGCTGAATGACGGTACATGACACTTAACGACATAGCAACTAAGAGCTCCTCATTTGAAGCATTGTTTTATCATGACGTCATATAACACTGTTGTTCACGAATTCTTAGAATATGGTACAATTATCTGTGACATCAGTGGCACATTGCCCTGTCAACAATTAAACAAACAAACGAACTATACGTCACTGATTTCCCAAATAATTGCATAATTTGGGTGTTTGCTTTGTTGTCTTGTATTCGTTCAAGCTTAGTTTGTTAGTATTCCAGCAGTATATCAAGCATGCAAATGTTTTACAGACATGGCAAACTATATGTAACTTGCCGTTTCCGCTAAATACCATAAGCATGAGCAATTTATATAAGGTTTCTTTATAAATTACCTTTGAAATCAAGATAGTTTATTATTTCCATATATTACTGATGTATAAAAAAATCGTTTTAGCCTACAGTATAGCCACTGCATTGTGTGCCTCTTAATAACATCTAAAATAAAAAAGGTTTAACCATCGATTTTTTACGTCAAGTAATATCAAAGTTTATCGTTGAAATATAAAGAGGCGATTGAAATTCTTCGACATGGCGTCAAGAACTAGTTGGGTAAGGGGCCAGAACCCCGGGGGTCAGAACCATTTACAAATGTTAGTCTTATAATACTTTAATTTATTTACCCTCATTTGAATTTTCTTGGAATTGAAACTATTCAGATCATAATTAAATGCAGTAAGCTTATGTTAACATTTTAACCGATTGAATAATGATTCACATGTCTAAAACGCGAATAGCGAGACCATACTGTTTCGCACTATAAACGTTTCGCGTTGTAGATAATAAATGCAATTCTTAAAAATATCAGAAAAAGCGAAATTTCGGTTGTAAATAATAGAAAAAATCGAAGGTGGAACTTTTTAAATATTTTTATATGTTATTTAGTGGTATGTGAACTATTGTTTAAAACAATAAAAACAATGTGTCAATGTTCTAGTTTTTCCCCAAAGAATGTCAAAGTTTATGGAAATAACAAGGCAATAGAAATTCGACAAGGCGTCGATTTTATTGCCGAACTTGGGTGAGGGGTCATAGGCCTTTACAAAGGTTGGTCTAATAATGGTTTATTCATCCTTATTCGAATTTTCTTGGGACTTAAACCCTTCAGATGATTGAAATGAAGTTAATCAAAAACATTTTAAGCGATCGTAATAATGATTCACATGTCTAATACGCGTTTGGCGAAACTATACCGGTGAGCAATATAAACATTTCTTGTTGGAGATGATTTATGAAATTCTTAAAAATACCAGAAAACGCCGAAATTTTGAATATAAATAACATAAAAAATCGACGGTGGAACCTTTTTATATTTTCAAATGTTATTTAAGGGTACGTGAACTATTGTTTGAAACAATAAAAACAATATGTCAATGTTTTATTTTTCTCCTCAAAGAATGTCAAAGTGTGTGGTAATAAGGTGATTCAAGTTCGACATGGCGTAATTTTTATTGCCGAACTTGGGTGAGGGGTCAAAACCATTTACAAAGGTTGGTCTTATGATGCTTTATTTACCCTAATTTTAATTTTCTTGATATTCAAACTATTCAGATAATAAAAGGCATAGCATTTATATCATTTTAAGCGATTGTAAAATGATTCGCATGTCCAATAACACGTTTAGCGAGATCCTACCGTTTCGCACTAAAAACATTTCTTGTTGGTGATAATTGATGAAATTCTTGAAAATATCAAGAAAGGAGAAATTCCGAATATAAATAACATAAAAAATCGACGGTGGAACCTTTTTATATTTTCAAATGTTATTTAGGGGTACGTGATCTATTGTTTAAAACAATAAAAACAACAAGTCAATGTTTTAGTTTTTTCCTCAAAAAATGTCAAAGTTTACGAAAATTGAAAGTCAATCAAAATTTGATATGGCGTCAATTGTACTGCCGAATTTGGGTAAGGGGTCACAGGTCTTTACAAAGATTGGTATAATAATGCTTTATTTACCACGAATCGAATTTTCTTCGAACTAAAACCCTTCAGATAATCACACCGAAGTGAATCAAAGACATTTTTAGCGATTGTATAATGATTCATATGTCTTATACGCGTATGGCGAAACTCTACCGATGAGCACTATAAACATTTCTTGTTGGAGATAATTGACGAAATTCTTAAAAATATCAGAAAACGCCGAAATTTTAAATATAAATAACAGAAAAAATCGACGGTGGAACCTTTTTATATTTTCAAATGTTATTTAGGGGTACGTGAACTATTGTTTGAAACAATAAAAACGATATGTCAATGTTGTAGTTTTTACCTCAAAAAATGTCAAAGTTTATGAAAATTGGAATACAAATAATATTTTATATGGCGTCAATCGCACTGCCGAACTTGGGTAAGGGGTCAAAATCCTTTATCTAAGCTGTTCTTACTATGCTTTATTAGTACCCATGAACAATAATTGGCATCAAAGGACTTCAGTTTATCAAATGCAGTAAATTAAAAACTATCTTGGTGGCCGTGTGACGATATTCCTATCAATCATCGATAAGTTAAGAACGTGTCGCTTTTAAAGCAAGCGTATTCTAGCAAAGCGGGCAAACTGAGGCGTTTTTTTCCGTAACGTCACACCCATCTTTCAAACGATGAAGTGAAATATTTTGATGGCGTACATTCAATGTTTTTTACATTAAATGAAAGCATATATGAAACCCTTCCGAAAAAAGAAAAATAAACAGTGCGTTCAGGGTACCCCCAAATCGGCTAGGATAGAGATGAGTCCCCTTAAGAGATAATCCTCTAATCAGGCATATATCCAACTGAACATATGCCATCAGAATATCACATTATGTACATTTTCTGCCTATTAGTAGCTAACACATTCACACTGCCATAAAATGATTTAGATCATGGTACAAAGGTTGAAAACATGGTTGACAAGATGCAGAGGCAGGTAATCAATCCATTGCCAATGCAAGGATACCAATTTTTGAGCCATTTCCAATGATTGAAAGCGATTAATAAATTCAGAATGAACTAAAAAGTCTGTTTATATTCTACAAGAGAGCTATGATTTTTGTAAAAAAGATACATCTTTGGGAACTTTACTATTACAGGAAAAACATTCTAACTTGTAATAATTCACAAAAAAGCAAGAAAATGTGTATACAGAGGAAAGGGCCAAAAATGGGAAAGACAAAGACAATTACAAAACACAAGGAAAAAGAAACGTAAAAGAGCACAACACGTCAAAAGGAAAACAATTCCCTAAAGAGCACAAACAATTATGTAACACTTGCTTCCCCACAATGCAGGACAGTTATCACAAATTCTAATATGATACGTGACGTCACACTAGCTAGAACAATTGATTTACTGGTCTATATTGGAGTATGTATGACCAATAAAATTCATAAATGCCAAAAATCGTGTTTCTTGTCTGTTTATCATATTAGAATCGTAACAAAGACCTCGATTTTATAATTTATGTCAAATATATGACCTCAAAATTTATTCTGGCCATTACCAAAGACCTCAATCGCTACGCGATTTCGGTTTTTAACAATGAACAGAATAAAATTTTCGGTCATATATTACGCCATAAATCCTAAAATCTCGGTCTTTATTCCTTAAATATATGATGAAGCACCAAAGATGTTCAAATATTCTTGACAGTCTCAAAAGATGTGGGACAGATTATATCTATATATTCTCAAAGCCAATGAGAGTGTCAAAAGGTCAACATCCATCCTGCATAGCCTGACCACAATAAAAGACCATGAAACACAATAATTCACAAAATTCATGAGAAGAAACCCATAAACTCTCACCACTAACTGGTAAGGTGAATTTACCACTATCATGTCAAAGTGTCGCAATATTATTTAGAACATGTTTCTCTTTAATTGAGTATTGTCTGATAATAGAGTATGTGTAGCTGGTGTCAATAATTAAATCCTAAACATGTAGACTATTGTTCTTGTTTCAACATTTGTAAGAGATAGGATGTGGTGAGTCTCTTATAACTTGTCACATGTTCAATAACGTTTCAACCTGATATGTGTTAGAAAATTTATCACATAATAAACACAACAGTTTGCTTCTGAAAACAAGGTGTTGTCTTCGAGGGAAAACACTTAGAATAGTTTGGACATAAAATTTGGTATGGGTGGATTAGATTCCTCAATTTTTCTGGAGGCAAAACAAAGTCTCGGTTTGGAGAACAGTCTCCTGGGCTAATAAATTTTTATGAAAAATATAGAAATATCACCCAAATCAAATTATGAATATTCAAAAGAGGACATTTAAATCTACAAGATTCAATAAAATACAAGTCTTGATTTGGAGAAAGAAGTGCATCAGTATACTGCACTAATATTTTTTATGAAAAATCTAGAAACATCAGCCAAATTAATTTATGACCATTGAAAAGAAAACATACAAATCTATATTCTGTAAAAAAAAAATTCCGAAGCAGGGATAACGCTCAATTAGAGTGATGAAATTCGTTCTCCAAACAGAGAATAGCCCTTTTGGTTGTTTTCAGTACTGTGACATTAAAACTCTGAAGGTGTGTCTTCCAAGTGCATCTTAATAATGTGAACCTAGAGATTAATGTCTGCTAAGGTGAAATTAAAGCCCTTCATTATAACAATTAAATTGACCTTCAAGATAAGTTGAAATATCTTTGATTTGCAGAATGTCACTTTAGTCTGTCAATGAAATATGGATGTTGCTCATGTCAAAAATAGGTTGCAGTTCTGGATGTAAGCTTGGCTGTATTTTTAAAAATTGCATATTTATTGGCAGCGAGTTATTTGCATAATAAAGAGAGAAACAGAAACAAACAACTTTTAGAAAAATTGCCTCATTATTAATTGTCTGAGAATATTTTAGGTTCTTAACTCAAGGTCTATTGCCTAATTTCTTGGAAATCAACTGATTTTAATTCTGTTCATTTCTCTGTTATTTTGAATTTCATCATTACTGCATGGCATACCCCATTTAATGGATTTGAATGGACCCCTATGAAATGTTTTATTTGAAGTGGTGGAGATTATAGCTTATATCTAGTAAATCTATAAAATTGTTTTAACCTTTTTTAAAATGGTTCCCAAGACAGTAACATCAGGCCAGTAACTAACTTTTGCCAAGGGTGGGTTCACTCTTTTCAAAAAATTCCAGGGGGGTTCACTTTGACAAATTTGGCCCTAAATCATAGGAAAATGCTCAGAATCTTGAAAAACTGCATGATTTTGAAAGATTTTTTGGCCAGGTTTTTTTTTTGGTCTCAACCCCCTGCCCCCCTTGGCTACGGGCCTGCACATTTACATTCTTCCTTAATCATTACTTACATGTTTTGAAAGCCATGTCTTCACTCCCATTGCTGAAATCTTTTAACATCCGAACATAAAGCACTCCAAAAGTGTTTAGTATACCAAAGATTGTTCCATTCACCCAGAAGCTTGCTAGAAAAATAGGATAATTATAAAAATTATTTTAAAATAAAAAATAATAATTACTTTCATGTATCTTAAACTATAATTTAGTCAAACTACAAATAGCTATGTGTATAGATATTGAAGAAAAATATTTAAAACATTGAAATAAATCACAATTCAAAGTTGAATTAGTTGCACAAGTTTGAATATGTACCTTGGAAATCAAAAGCATGTTCAGGTAGAAATCTGTACAATGTAACACACACTTTTTAGGAAATAAATACGAATGGTATATAAAATGGAAGATAAAATTGGAGCTGTGTGTTTGATTGTCCAATATCTATGCATTTCAAAAAGAAGCATTTCTACTCTCTACTTTCAAAATTCAAACACGTAGATCTCAATAGAAAGTTGAATGAGTTGCGCTTATTATGAATATATACCTTGAAATTCAAAACCCTGTTCAAGTATGAATACAATCTAACACACAGTTCTAAACAATATTTTCATATTTTTATTTGGAGATAGGTTCACCTATTAATGCTGGGGTACCCCCTCTTGTTCTACTCATGTGTGATTACTTACTGAACATAACCAGCCAGCCGTATCCTCCATCTGGAGCCACATGGTCATCAGCATGGACAAGCCCGCTTTTCGTTTTTTTGATAATTTTAACTCCATCTTCGCAATCTTCCCCGTCGATTATATCAATGTCTCCATTAGTATGGGTAGGTTCTCCATTACTAATGGTTGCATCCCCATTAGTGTTCTGCTTGTGCCCATTTTGTGTTAATGGAAGGGATTGATCAATTTGTTCCTGGGTTTGTTTCTCTTGTCCCCCAGCCTTCTTTTTTCCAAATTTCATACTTACTGATACATGTACATGTATATTAACCAATTTTTGTTCAAATTGATTTTTAGAAGTCTGAATCTTATAGAAAGTTTAAGTTGTTTGTTTTGTTTTTGAAATGCCTATGTTACCATAATGTAAGTCATGCTAGGGTTGTCTATATCATATTATGTCCTGTTTTCTTCTTCAGTAACTAAAGAATGATGTTTTTCCTCTTGCAAATTTTGTTGATTTCTCAGTGTCGATACCTGTAAATAGAAAGATAAACACCATTTTAGGCTCTTATCATTTATTCAAATATAAAATACACCTACACTTAACAATTTAGGCAATCATAAAAAAATCATTTCACAAAACATCAGATAAATGTGACGAAAACATCTGACAACTGATATGTAAAAAACAGATGATATATCAATGTGAGATGATAGCCTTTGAATTGCTCATCTCATTGATTTGTGATTTGACTTCTTCATTAGGATGTTGATAGTGTTAATATTAAGTTACACAATAAAAATACTTGTATATATGGTATTCCAAAATTTTGGCATCATGCAAAAAACTGTGACTGCAAAGAGAAAAAGAAAAAAAGAAAAAGGAAAACAATATTTATGTAATACTCTTAAAAACTCTTTTAAAATGAATTTAAAATAGATATATCCCATGTATGGAGGCCTTGAAAGAGAGATTTGATTTGATATTTTAAATGATGCATTCAGTGATGAAAGGCATAAAGAACTTGAGATTATAAAATACATTTATGAATATCTGAACACCCTGTATCCAATAAATATCATAAGACAATGCAAAAACCCTCAAATAAAGTTAAGTTCATAACATTTTTCTCCACTTCTTTTTGTTTGATGAATACATGTAAACTCTACCCATATCTTACCAATATTAGACCTCTATCACCCTAATTTCAAATCATTCCATGTTTACTGTAATATTCAGTCTTTATTTGATCAAATTAACATGATAGAGGGATATCAAAACAACTTTTAATAAAGGGATTAATTATCAGCAATTTTCAGGCTTCTGTAGAAGTGTTTTGACAGCTAAAACATGATACCTTGCACAAAATGTTTATTTTTTCATCTTATTGAGCAATTTAAATAAACTGTTGGACATGCAATTATCATTTAATAAAAACGAAAATGTCATAACTCCAAGGCATACTTTATTACTTGCCTATTCCTCCCTTACTTGTCCATTATAGAGAATGTACAAGCCTGACTTGTATATTACAAAGACGAGAATGAGCAAGTGCATGCTGATATTAAAGACCTACCCATTATCATATATTAGGTCAGTGATTATACAAACTTGAATGATAATACAAATTATTACCACCTTGCCGGGCCAGTTCTAGGGGTTTTAGTGCTAGTTTAGAAGGCGTTTATTTTACTATATCGACCTGAGAAATGTGTGACGTCATAGTGGTGGTCCATATGGACCGGTCTAGAATATATTCTGGACCGGCAATTTTCCCCGGGAAATTAGATATCGTTCAATGCGTAAGATTTTCTTGCTGTTTCAGTCCTGGTCGTTAACGGTGGTAATAATGCTAATAACGTCATTTCTGGCCCTCGGTCCAATATTTCACTATATTGCTCTTAAAAATGACGTTATTGTACTAATATATTGCCCCTTTTGACTCAGAGCTACCCAAATATGAATCCAGTCCTCTCACCAGGATTTGTTCTTGGTTGCTAGCAAAGTTCTCTTGACCAAAGTTGGTCAAGGTATGCCAAATTGTCAAATCTTCTCACTTTGAAGTGGGTGCAAATTGGTTTCAAAGTGGGTGCAAGACTATTATTTAAATTTCTAGTGGGTGCAAGCCTATAGTTGCTTAATGCTGAGAAGATCACAACTAATTTCCAGATATCAGAAAGGAGAAACATTCCAATGCACAGATCCAATAGTAAATCACTTTAATTATAGATCAGATGAATGAACTGGAGCAACAGCAGCCTCTTAATTCATGGGTTGATCTGGAAACTGACAAGGTTGGGAGGAATATCATCTTGAAACTCCTGTATAGACTTTGGGCCTGTTTTTCAAAAATTGAGGCCTGTTTTCAAAAATTGAGGCCTGGTTTTCAAACATATATCTTCAGACTGTCTCAAAATTAGACTTATTTCTTATTTTTGAAAAAAGCACAAATTAACCATTTCCAACTAAAAATCTGACACTATTATTGCATGGGGTTATTTTGTTACATTTTTTGAAACTGCATGTTTATGGTAACTGAGTGAAGTTTAATGTGCATGCACCAGAAGGACACAAGAAATAAAGTGAATCTCTTTGCAATCGTCAGCAACCAATATCATAAATTGTTAGTTACAAGAAATTGTATATAATAAATAAAATTAATGGACTTAAAGATAATGCTAAACAGGAAACTTGCTTTTAGCATTTAAGATGCAGCCAAAATAGAATGTATTAGATAAGTAGAAATAATAATATTTTCCTTTTCTTTTTATTTACTACAAAGTGATTCAATATTTGAAATCTAAATTTAAAATTACATCAAGAAACATGGTTTTCAAAATTGTTTATCAACTTTGAAAATTTAATTAATTTTTTGACTTCTAGGTCTACCTACTGGCACCTGGATTACTTCCTATATTCTTAATAGAAGGCAAAAGTGCATGGCATGCATGGCCATGATTACAAACAATTTTTCGTTTCAAAGATAGAAAGAGACCATACAGTCCAATACTTAAATATATAAATATGTTGACGCATTGAGGCAAATAATTTGCCATTGGAAGAAATATTTTTTATAAAACACTGAAAGAACTGAAATATAATTTGGTCATCAGAATGCCTCAGATTGAGTCCTAAATGATAAGCATTTCATTTTTGCCACACAAAAGCTGCAAGAATCAACAAAATTCCTTGAAACTTTTTTCTGCATTGAATAGGCTTAAATAGGCTTGAATATATCACCATTCAATGCCACATGGTTAACCTGCTTTTGGTTGTTTTTTTTATGGCTATAGCTGAGCCCTAGATTTTTCCTTTTGTATATCAGCATGTTTTTCTTTATAAACCTGGTGTTTTCATATTTACGCATGAAATGGTTGTAAACATAACATGCAATAAGTCTATCTTGAAAAGCATTTTACGATTTAATAAAGACTTTTTTACCTCATTAAAAATTTTAAAACATTTTTAAACATTTTAGGTACTTAGAGGTTCTTGTGTAAAATGCATTTTTGAATTTTTCTTCATTTTCAATAGATAAACTGTTAAAAACTTTAATTGTTCCCTTAATAGTGTGTACATGTACATGATGAAACAATGGTTTTGGAGTGGTATTGAGTATCATTATTAAAGACAATGCCTTAGACGACCTCATTAGCGATTACAAAATCATAAAAATTATAATTAATAAAGTAGAGAAATGTCCAAATATTAAAGCAAACAAGCATAACAGTAAGCCTATAAATTGTAAAGAAATGTAAAAATGCAAAAAGAGCAATTCCTTGAAAAAAATTTGAAAAAGTGAGAAAAATCATAACTTATGTGATATATTTTGAGCAGGGTGGTTATCTTCTGATTGTGTTTTGTTGTGGACTTTTGACTCTGCACTTAAAGTGCAAGGGTTCAAAATACAAAAATAGGATAATACATACAGTTGGTTATTTCAAGGTTATCGAACCAATATATTCACATCTTTCTAAAAATAAAGACGCACTTTAACTCCAGTATCTCTACATACTTCAAAAGGGAGAAAGGGGTGTTGGCAGGGGAGGTGTTGGGGTATGGTGTCTAGATTGGCCAGATTATTCACACCAATGTATATTTCTGAGATTTAGACCTACTTCATCCCAAGTAATTCTGCATATGATAGGTGAGGGGGGGGGGGTATGAAATGTGTGGTGGTGTGATGCCTAATACATGGTCAGATTATTCACTTCACACCAATGTATCTTTCTAAAATTTAGACCCACTTCACGGGTAGTATCTAAAGCCCCGCTATGATTTAGAAGTCGCGAGCAAATACCCGCTGAAATCGCGAGCAATTAAAAGAAAAGAAGGGTTATCTTTTGTTTACTTAAATTGTATGTTATAAAAAGCGTTTTCATTTAATTTTACTCAATTATTACATGGTATTGATACTAAAAAGCAACTTCTGCAAAAAAGGATCACGAGCTGATGTTCTGAGTTTTGTTATTCGATAATTGGAGAGAGAATGTATCATCTTGAATCTTTATCTATATATTTCTATATTTTATAGCTGAAGAAGGTCATTGCCCTTCAGTTGAAATGGTCATAGTAATATGAAATGAAGGTATTGTGAGTTTCACTTCCTAAAGTTTCACAAAAAATTATATATTTCAATTTTAGCATATCCCTTGAGGCCCCGCTTCTACCATGAGCAATAAACTAAAGATCCTGCTGAAAACATGAGGAGGCCCCGCTGAAAACATGAGGAGGTCCCGCTGAAATCAGGAGCAAGTGGCACTCTAAAATGGAGTGAAGACCGATTTGACTTTGCAAATCTGCCACGACTGTAGCCAACGTAATAAATATATTAATTATTGATACTCTACAGAGCACATCTATATCATATATCATTGTCATTGTTATTATCAGTTCGAGCAACCCCCCCCCTTACCAAAAGCTGGCTGCAAGCATGATTCCAATAAAACCATTTCACTTAATGTATTTCGACCTGACTCCATCGAGAAATTTACCAAGAGAAGATTTAAATCCATTCCACGACTTTTGACAAGTTTCAAATAACTCGTTCTTCTTTGTATGCAATATATATTTATATTTCACTGAAGTTACATTATACTGTAGTTCAGTATATTACTACATTAGAGGATTCAGCACCAATGGCGCGCACATTTGAAAAGGCAATTTATGGATCAACTGCTAGATGTAAGTAACAAAGGAGTACATCATCCGATTATGAGTCCGAAATAATAATAATCAAATAATTTCATCATTAACAATTAATCGTAGGTTATGTTAAACGCACGTGTTACGCGGAAAACATGATGCAAACATGTGTCATATTCTGCAATAAATATGGCATATTCACTTGCGGTGTATGACAGATTCAGCTGCAGTATATTGCATACCCACTAAGCAATGAGAACACGATACAGAAGTACGCAATTGTCAATTGCATTGATTGAACAAACGGGTAATCATTGTGTCATTTTCACCTGTGGTATATGACATATTCGGCAAGTGAGTATGACATATTCTGCAGGTGACTATCAGG